TGCTGCTCTTTCTTTTCGTTGTTGCCCTAGACCACGACGCTCCGACTCGCGTGACTGTCCCTTGGCTATATATCCTTGCGACCGAAGTTCATAGAACTATCGCGAGCTTTAACGACCAGTACGAGAGAGATACATGCAGAGTTTGCATCGGGTAATCGGTAACACGTGGCTTTGTATCCCGTCGAGAGTCCAGGATTTTACCCTCAAACATCATCCATCAACCTATGGATCCTGATAGCTGCAAGATCGATCGCTGCTCTTTCTCGCCTAATATTTTCTCTGTCAACTTTCATTCTGTCGTTTTCGTATCCGTGCTTTTACTTTGAATATATCTCGAGAGACAGTCGATGGGAATTTTAAACAAATTTTGCTATTAATCGTACGGTTGATAGCATTGGAACTCTGTGCAGGTACTCGTGAAATTTCCAGGTTAGCGTGAACGAAATCCAAGTCGAGTCACAGGAGTGCAAATTCAAGGGAGGTCAGAGGGAGTTTAAAGGGAATTCAAAAGGAGTTCAAAGGATTAAGAATTTTTCCAAAATATGCGAAACGTTTTGAATAATTTTTTAACTCGATCGAGCATAATTTGGGAAGCGGTTAACGAGGTACACGCGTGATACGCTACAGGAAGCAACGTAATCCGCATACATAAACCGCGGCTCGATTATCAGGCTACAGGGTGGTGCACGGATGCAGCTTCCAGCGCACGTGTGGAGGTCTCGTTACCGGGTACGCGCAACGGGTTCTGTGCAACATGCAAAATGAGCTTAAGTCACGCATATTTATCTTTGCCGAGGCGCCTGGGCGAGCAGGCGCAAATATGGCGGGCAGGCAGGCAGGGGAAGGGATGAAATTATGGAAACTTGCTCTCACGTCCGAAAAGATACTTCGCCGAATAGTTTTCCGGGCTCCAGCAACGCGTAACTATGCTAACTAACAGCGTCTATTAATCAATATTCCCGGAAACTTTTCATCCCGCGAACTTTCTTCGCCAATTCCAGCCACGCCGCAGGAATTCGCGGCGAACTTCAAGAGAGATTTCAAAACCTTGGTCAAACTACGGGCTCGATAGGATTTCGAGGTCTAGTTTGAGTAGCCGTGTTTCATTACTAAATCCAGGAGAGAAGAGTTCCTCCACCGAAAGAACGAGAAGTGGCTCTAAGCCTGTCTCCAAACAACCTCTCACAATCTCGATCCTGATCAGCAAATAGCTCCCAGCTGAAGGATCTCGTGAACATCGGTGACATCTTGATGGTTCTAACCATAGCTGAAGGCCCTCGATATTCGTTTAAACTATGAACTTGCTGGTATTTCGAGGTCCAGCTGAAGTACCCCTGTTTCGCTATTAAATTCAGGAAAGAAGAGCTTCCTTCGTTCTAAGACTTTCTCCAGATAATCCCTTCTCGCGATTCTGATTGCGATAATCAAAGATATTCTCAGGTAATGGATCTTATCCATTGGTAACATCTTCCTGGTTCCAATTACAATTGAAAGTCCTCGATATTCGTTTAAACTACGAATTCGATAGGGTTTCGAGGTCTAGTCGAGTACCTGGATCTCTGTCCTAAGTCCAGGAGACACTTTTCTTCGCCCAAAGACCAAAAAGTGTTTCTAAGCCTATCTCCAGATGACTTGTTCTCGTCATTTCGATTCCTGAGAGCAGAGATCTTCTTAGGTGACAGATCTTGTCGGATTTCGAGATCTAGTTTGAATTATAGTGTTTTCTTTTTGAATTCAGGGGAC